CAGCATTCGGCCCCCTTTCTTAAATTTTGAATATGTTAGATGTTAAGTCACTGCACATCCTCTCAAATGTACTCCATATGTTTAAAACTCTGAACTGTAATGCCAATCCTGACCTTAAACGCTTCCTAGAAGGTTGTAACAGAACTCATGGGCACCACACTAGAAACAAATACCTATTTGATATTCCAAGAGTGTGACTTAACCCAACTAGAAATGCTCTGCAAATCAAGGGACCCAGAATGTAGAATGACTTTTCCAATCATGCCAAAGGCTGTACCTCTCTCAGCCAGTTTAAGAGAAAAACTAAGTACTACCTAATAAACTCCATGTAACCTATCTTATCACTTAAGTGTCAACCTATGTCTTGCTATTTTCTAACAATTATTGTTAGAAAATTATGATTATTGACCCACTTGATTAACTGTTGATTTCCGCCATGTATAAACGTGAAGGAAAATTGTTGTCTTCTGTTTATTTAGTTAAACAGAAGACAACAATTTTCCCTGCTGTTCTGTTTCAATTTCTACTGTTCCATCCATCATGTAATTATTGTACTTTTTTAATTTTTTTTTCCTTTTTTTCATTTCAGATATGCTTTGATCTCAATTAGTTTTAAGTTTTAGTCTTAGTGTTTATCCCACTAACATGTGGGATGCTGCACTACATGTGACGCTTCATATTTCCTATTTCTCTGCTTCTCATAGGCATAGTTACATACGCCTCCCAGTGCCCGCAGAGCGGCGATACAGGGAGCCGGTTCGGCCGAGCGGACAGCACGTGGGACTTGTGATCCTGTGGTCCTGGTTCGATCCCAGGCGCCGGCGAGAAAACAATGGGCAGAGTTTCTTTCAACCCTATGCCCCTGTTACCTAGCAGTAAAATAGGTACCTGGGTGTTAGTCAGCTGTCACGGGCTGCTTCCTGGGGGTGGAGGCCTTGTTGAGGACCGGGCCACGAGGACACTAAAGCCCCAAAATCATCTCAAGATAACTCAAGAAGAAGAAGAAGCCGACTGAATACCTTCCCCACACTCTGGACCACTCATGAGGTTCGTGACCTGAATGCACTAACATGTGATGTATTATATCTCTACTTCTTCAAATTTTTTGCCACACTCAGAACATTAAAAAGGTTTTTTTCATCCATATGCACCATCCTGTGTCTCTTCATATTTCCAAGCTGACTAAATCTCTTTCCACACTCTGGACACTGATGAGGTTTGAGACCTGAATGCACTAATATGTGCTTCTTCACACTACTAAGATGACGGAATCTCTTCCCACACTCTGGACACTCATGAGTTTTATGACTTGAATGCACTAGCATGTGTTTTATTATATCTCCACGTCTTCTAAATTTTTTCCCACACTCAGCACATTCAAAAAGTTTTTCATCTGTATGCACTATCCTGTGTTTCTTCATATCTCCAATATGTCTAAATCTCTTCCCACACTCTGGACACTCATGAGGTTTTTTCATCCATATGCAACATCCTGTGTCTCTTCATATTTCCAAGCTGACTAAATCTCTTTCCACACTCTGGACACCTGATGAGGTTTGAGACCTGAATGCACTAATATGGGCTTCTTCACACTACTAAGATGACGGAATCTCTTCCCACACGCTGGACACCTCATGAGGTTTTTCATCCATATGCAACATCCTGTGTCTCTTCATATTTCCAAGCTGACTAAATCTCTTTCCACACTCTGGACACTGATGGAGGTTTGAGACCTGAATGCACTAATATGTGATTCTTCTTCACTACTAAGATGACGGAATCTCTTCCCACACTCTGGACACTCATGAGGTTTATGACCTGAATGCACTAACATGTGTTTTAATTATATTATCCACGTCTTCTAAATTTTTTTCCCACACTTCGCGCACACCTCAAAAGGTTTTTCATCCATATGCAACATTCTGTGTTTTCTTCATATTTCCAAGCTCACTAAATCTCTTCCCACACTCTGGACACTCATGAGGTTTGTGACCTAAATGCACTAGCATGTGTTTGTATTATATCTCTACGTCTTATAAATTTTTTCCCACACTCCGCACACTCAAAAGGTTTTTTCATCCATATGCAACATTCTGTGTTTCTTCATATTTCCAAGCTCACTAACAGCTCTTCCCACACTCTGGACACTCATGAGGTTTGTGACCTAAATGCACTAACATGTGACGCTTCACACATCCAAGCCTACTGAATCTCTTCCCACACTCTGGACACTCATGAGGTTCGTCACCTGAATGCACTAACATGTGACGCTTCACACTACTAAGATGACGGAATCTCTTCCCACACTCTGGACACTCATGAGGTTCGTCACCTGAATGCACTAACATGTGTTTCTTCACATGTCCAAGGCTACTGATAACCTTCCCACACTCTGGACACTGAGGAGTCTTCATCTTAAGGTTACAGTCTCCGTGGTGTAGTGGTAAGACACTCGCCTGGCGTTCTGCGAGCGCTTTGTCATGGGTTCGTATCCTGGCCGATCCTGAGGCTCTACTGGGCGAGTATCCTTACAGGTAGCCTCTGTTAAACTCAACAGTAAATGTGTACATGATTGTAAAATTGTTACCATTTCTTCGCGGCGGGGATCGTATTCCAGGGACCTGCCCGAAACGCTACGCGTACTAGTGGCTCTACAAGAATGTAACAACTCTTGTATATATCTCAAAAAAAAAAAAAAAAAATCTTTATGACAGCTGCAGGTTATGTGAAGGTTTTCTCCTCTGCTGACTGCACGAGTGTGTGATGGTTGACCGACAATGTTGACACTTATGCAAGACTTGCCAGATGCTTGAGTTACACTTGATGTCTGCACTTGGCGGTCAATGGTGTGCTTCTTCTTTATGAGAGGTGCAGTTTATGTCAAGGTTTTATGGTTCCGTATGGACACTTACCAGCTCCTCTTGACAAAATGCCGCCCAAATCCCGACGCTCTTAAAAGCTTTCCGATACTGTTCTCTAGTTCCATATCTTATTTTTCGTACTTCTTTTTTTTTTTTTGCTTATAACTGGATTTTCTTCCTTATCAGCATTAATTTTCCCTCCTCTTTTCCAATGAAAGAATGTACTTGAAACTCTTTCTTTATACATAATACCATACGATTATATACTTTTAGAAGGATTCAGATATTTCCTGATGAATTGGATACAAGCATTATCGTACACACACACTCAATGGAATATCGTACGTATCGTACTCCACTTCAGGGGATCCCTAGGGGGATACAAGACACTCCGTACATTGACAACATCGCACACTAATATTTTTACCACTTCGGACACCAGCTTTCGACGTTTCGCATATGTGGTACGTGTTCCATAGTAAACACGACAATATAATGCTATTAACAATTAAAATCTTATACTTAACACGCATATAGTTATTAAATGAAATTTAGTGATGTAATACATAATCCGGAGTTGGTAAGGACTCCTCCCGCCTGTTAACACGACACCACACCCCGAATGCCCACAAACACGATACAACACACAAAACACAACACTTCTGGTCAGTTTTTGGATAAACTCTTCTTATTTTTATATTGTTATACTGTATACAATTTATAAAACTATTACTAGGTTAAGGAGTGTGTGCCTAACATTTAATATTAATCAATAAAAGAAGTAGTCAGAAGCCACACGCCTGTCCGGTACATGTCTTTTGTGTAAAAGTATTTTGGGCGCTCATGTACTTGTACGCTAGCTGGCGTTCACAACTGTTCTCGCCTACAAGCATTAGAATTAAACAACACGAATTTATTTTTTTATTTATTACAAGAAGAGAAGGCTACCCTTGAGTCTGTAATATTCATCTGATCACTGGTCTCCCATTTGGTCCTCTTTGCTTTATCTTACTGTTATTGAATGTCAATAACCTGTAACGTACGATTATGTTACGTTGCGTATTATGCAATTTCAATTTCTTCTATTTCTTTCTTTATTATGCACCCCATACCCATCCCGTGGACGGTGGTGTAAAGGATTACAGAGGCACATAATCTGCAGTCTCCGTGGTGTAGTGGTAAGACACTCGCCTGGCGTTCCGCGAGCGCCAGGGAACGCGAAACCCGTCATGGGTTCGTATCTCGTATCACCGAGATACGAACCCATGACCCAATGTCATGGGTTCGTATCCTGGCCGGGGAGGGTTTACTGGGCGCAATTCCTTAACTGTAGCCTCTGTTTACGCAACAGTAAAATGTTACTTGGATGAAAAAAACGATTCTTCGCGGCAGGGATCGTATTCTCCAGGACCATAGGATTAAGGACTTGCCCGAAACGCTACGCGTACTAGTGGCTCTACAGAATGTAACAACTCTTGTATATATCTCAAAAAAAAAAAAAATAATAATCGGTTTTAGAACTGAACCCTCTAGTTCGTTTAGCTAAGCAAATAACAAGGTTTGACGCTAGTTACAAAATTATTAATGTTGTATACACATGTATACACACTCATATATATATATATATATATATATATATATATATATATATATATATATATATATATATATATATATATATATATATATATATATATTAGTATATTTTGGTAGCAGTCTTTCCTGTAGACATATATTATTAAATATGACCGAAAAGTAAGATTAATAATTCTAACACGAATTTTCTCAATCTTTCGTACATTACGCTTCACTGTTGGAGGTAAATCAAAATCACTTCTCCAAAATTCATTTTTATTTCTAGTCTGACGCGACACGGGCGCGTTTCGTAAAACTTATTACATTTTCAAAGACTTCACAAATACACAACTGATTAGAACTTGCGTTTCCCTGATTTTATATCTACATTTGAGTGAGGTGGGAAGGGTGATGTGGCATTAACACAAGACAGAACAAGAGGGGATATTAATAGGGTATTAAAAGTATCAACACAAGACAGAACAGAAACAATGGGTATTGAATAGAAGTGTTTGTAGAAAGCCTATTGGTCCATATTTCTTGATGCTTCTATATTGGAGCGGAGTCTTGAGGTGGTAGAATATAGTTGTGCAATAATTGGCTGTTGATTGCTGGTGTTGACTTCTTGATGTGTAGTGCCTCGCAAACGTCAAACCGCCTGCTATCGCTGTATCTATCGATGATTTCTGTGTTGTTTACTAGATTTCTCTGGCGATGTTGGTTACTAATGGAGCCCTGTTGCTTTGCATCGTTAAACGCCTAGAAAGAGATGTTTTGTCTTGGTTTATAGTAAATTGACGAACCATAAAACCAGAAAAACGGCCAGCCTACTCATGAGAAACTCTCCAGAGAACGCTTTAAAAGAGACTAACGTCGTCTATAAATGCCCACTTGGGGAAGCTTTAAAAAACCCAGTATATAGGCAAGACAACAACATCTCTTTCTAGGCGTTTAACGATGCATATCCATTAAGGAACATATAATCTCTTCCCATAACCAAACCATCGCCAGAGAATCCTAGTAAACAACACAGAAATCATCGATAGATACAGCGATAGCAGGCGGTTTGACGTTTGCGAGGCACTACACATCAAGAAGTCAACACCAGCAATCAACAGCCAATTATTGCACAACTATATTCTACCCACCTCAAGACTCCGCTCCAATATAGAAGCATCAAGAAATATGGACCAATAGGCTTTCTACAAACACTTCTATTCAATACCCATTGTTTCTGTTCTGTCTTGTGTTGATACTTTTAATACCCTATTAATATCCCCTCTTGTTCTGTCTTGTGTTAATGCCACATCACCCCTCCCACCTCACTCAAATGTAGATATAAAATCAGAGATACGTAAGTTCTAATCAGTTGTGTATTTGTGAAGTCTTTGAAAATGTAATAAGTTTTACGAAACGCGCCCGTGTCGCGTCAGACTAGAAATAAAAATGAATTTTGGAGAAGTGATTTTTGATTTACCTCCAACAGTGAAGCGTAATGTACGAAAGATTGAGAAAATTCGTGTTAGAATTATTATCTTACTTTTTCGGTCATATTTAATAATATATATATATATATATTATATATATATTATATATGACCGAAAAAGTAAGATTAATAATTCTAACACGAATTTTCTCAATCTTTCGTACATTTCTTTTCACTGTTGAGGTAAATCAAAAATCAATTCTCCAAAATTCATTTTTTTTTTCTAGTCTGACGCGACACGAGCGCGTTTTCGTAAAACTTTCAAAGACTTTAGTTCACAAGTTTAGTTTACATTTTCAAAGACTTTAGTTCACAATACACAACTGAATAGAACTTACGCATCCCGTTTTATATCTACATTTGAGTGAGGTGGAAGGGGTGATGTGGCATTAACACAAGACAGAACAAGATGTGGCATTAATAGGGTATTAATTCCTCATCAACACAACCAGAACAAGAAGTGGTATTAATAGGGTATTAATTTCATCAACACAAGACAGAACACGAAACAATGGATATGAATAGAAGTGTTTGTAGAAAGCCTATTGGTCCATATTTTCTTGTGCTTCTATATTGGAGCGGAGTCTTGAGGTGGGTAGAATATAGTTGTGCAATAATTGGCTGTTGATTGCTGGTGTTGACTTCTTGATGTGTAGTGCCTCGCAAACGTCAAGCCGCCTGCTATCGCTGTATCTATCGATGATTTCTGTGTTGTTTACTAGGATTTCTCTGGCGATGGTTTGGTTGTGGGAAGAGATTATATGTTCCTTAATGGAGCCCTGTTGCTTATGCATCGTTAAACGCCTAGAAAGAGATGTTGTTGTCTTGCCTATATAC